CGTGGACTGTTAAAGGCAAGAAGAGGGAGGACTCTCTGATGGGGTTGGTCCTAGGGTTATAGTTCTGTGCTACAAGGGAGGAATATCTCCCTGTGGGGAGGAGTCATGGAAAGAGAAGTAGGAATAAGGAAGGTCAGTGTGGTGGAGAAGGAGTGGAGATGAGGAAACACCCTGTGATGAGGGTGGCAGGGCAGAGTCGGGGTAGCTGGGAGAGAGCATCCTGCAGGCCCAGTGCTGGAGAGGCCAAGAAGATGCTGGGAGGCAGAGAGGCCCACCGAGTGCCCAGGGCAACTGTGAAGAGAGAAAGCAGCCAGAACACAGAGTGCACAGGTCCAAGAAGGAGATGGGAGGAGATGAAGTGTGAAGGAGCCTACTGGGGTCCCAGCCAGAGGCAGTGCTGGGAGAGGAGAACCCTTGTAGCATGGCCAGGCTGAGGGCTGCATTTGGTCATGGTAGATCTCAGGCCGCACAGGCTACTGCACATGCCCACCCTAGGCAGCATGTTAGTTGTGAAGTGTCTTGGCATCCGTGCTTCTTGCTTTGCTGTGAGCACCTGAGTCCTGGTAAAGTTGGTACAGCCCGAGCCAGTTGGCTGGCCTGTCACTGCAATCACCAAGTCCCCACCACAGAGGGAGCCATGAAGCTGTCCTGGGGGAGAGACAGGTGATAGTCAGTGGGGGACCATGAGAAGCCACCCAGCACTACCTCCAAGAAGGTGAAGAACTTGAAGTGAACTGGTGACACCAGAGAATGTGACCTTTGTGGTAACAGGAAAGGTACAGCATGTCACAGGTGTGGAATGCGATGCATTGTTGCTAAGCGGCGATCCACTGGGTGTCTAGCAAGAGGTCATGTATGATCTTATGACAACTATAGATTAGATTTTTGTTCTGCCTTTCTGCTGTATCACTGTGGGCTCTAGTGGAGAATACACAGGTTGAGGTGGGGTTGGGGACGCCCCTGAAGTCCCTAATGAGGCTTCTCTGTCAGCACACAGTCTGGCTGGGTGAAGAGTGCTATCAGGCCATATCCTGCCCCCTTCTTCTCTCTTCCGTGAGCCTCATGCCATCCCTTCAGTGACCTCTCCTTTTTAAGTTAGCGGCTGATGCTTTCCTACAGCCAAAGGCCCCTCATGTACCCACATGAGTCAGTGACTTGGATTCTGCCTTCCAAGGACATTGTGTTCTCTCGATGCAAGGGCATCTCTAGTTGCTTTTAAATGGCATGGACAATAGGACAGGCTTCCAAACAAAACTGGGAGATCTAAAGATAGCATCATCTAGCAAGGAAGAATTTCCTGGTGTCAGAGTGCTGGGCTCGTGGAGACAGTCTATGCGCAGGCTGAGTCTGTATGTTTATCTGGGTCCTCACGAAATGCATTACAGTGTGCTGTGGATGGAGGGAGCAATGCCCTAGCAGGAATGGAAAGGACCACGTGTTTGTCGGATCTGGCTTCTGGCTTCTGCCAGAGCTGCTACCTGCTTGAAACTCCACTCTTGTTAGGAATTTGATGGCCTTGCTCCCTGGGTAGCATAGGTGTTAAACCTTTTTCTGTTTTTTTTTTTTTTTTTGTATTTTAGTAAGAGTCTACAGGGTCTCACTACATAGTTTGGACTCATAGTGATCCACTTGTGTTCAGCCTCCCAAGAGTTGAGATTATAGGTTTGTGCCACTACACCCAATCTCAGTCTCCGTCTCAGCATGCCCGGGGGTCAGGCTATCACGGCACACCAGGGATTGAACCCCGGCCACTGTGTCTGCCTAAACAGGCGCTTAATCTGCTGAGTTATTTGGCTGCCCCTTAAACTTTTGAGCTGATATTAACCATGTACCTATGAAACCCCACTTATAGTCATTGGAATTCCCCAAGTCTTTGTGCATCTTGATGAAAGGATGTGGCAGAAGTGTCTTATTTGAGCAGGAAAGCACTTTTGATGAATATGTAATTTTATTCAGGTAGTTCCTTTTTGAGTTAAAATATTCATATATGTATGAAGTGTTTTTTTTTCTAGAAGAAATGATTTGAATAGCAATGACTGTGGATATATATATATATATATATATATATATATATATATTTTGTCTGACTATGTAAATGACACACAGGGAGGCTGCGTAGCTGGAGGAAGGGATGGAATTCGTACCTGCTCTGTTTCCTGCTTAGAAGCAAGGACCTGGCGCTCTCACACTTCCTGTGTGGCTCTGAAATAGGCTCATCAACATGGCGGCAGAGCCCTTTCCTAGTTATTTTTGGTGTTTGATTAAGTGGAAACATGATAGATCTGCATGCAGTATAAGCATCGGGAGGGATGGAGACAGCGTGTTTTCCTTGTCTGGGCCTGAAACAGTCTGGTCCCTCAGGAGTCTGAAGCTGAAGGGCAGAATGGAGATGCACAGAAGCCACTCCCAGGCTGTGAGGACTCAGGTGCTTGGGGCCTTGCTGAGCCAGCTTGGGGTTGGGCTAGGGGTGGGCCTTCTCCGCAGAGGCTGCTACTCTTAAGGATGCTGACTGTGTCTGAGGAAAGGCTGTCTGAGACAGGTGATGAGTGACAGGAACAGGGAGCCAGGAGCAGGTGGGAGTGGAGGGGAGAATGTGGAGAAGTAGGGTAGCCAACCCAGCTCCAGGGGCTGAGGACGGAGTGGAGCAGGACCACAGGGCAGGCTGAAGGAAGTCCTGGAGCCAAGTGGTCCCAGTGGGTCAGTGATCTGAGCCCCAGACCCTTCCCTGGGTTCCATCCAGGGGTGCTACCAGGTGCAGGGACCACCTGGGTCTGGGATCCCAGGGAGGCAGGTGGCATCCAAAAGCAGATGTTCTGTGTCCTGAAGCCAGTGTGGAGGCTCTGCTTCCACGCCCGTAGTCTTCCTGCAGCAGGAGTGCTGAGGGCTCATTATTAGGCTGCTGCTGGGACAGAGGAGGAAGCCCCGAGTGAGCCTTGCTGTTAGCAACACGTAGCATGTGTTTCCGGAAACTCATGTGAGATCACCTGGCTCGGTTGGCAAACACGGGTCACTGATTTCTGATGGGCAGGGTGGAGAGACACTCAGTTAACATTTGGGACCAAGGAGTTGCCACTCATGTGACTCAGACCCATGTGTCTTCCCGACCTGGGAAGTGGAAAGGAGGGCTCTGAAAACTAGAGAGGTCAGTTAGGGGCGCTCTCTGCATGGCACCTCCTCACTGTGGGGCTGAACCCTGCTCGCCATGCTATCCTCTTTCATGTGGCCCCTCACTTCCTATGTGCCTCTATCTGGGGTTCACTGCCCGGCTCCCACTCACTGCGTGGCCCCTGCTCACATCTCCCCCACCCATGTACCTCCTTTGCTGTATCCCCCTCTTATAGCAGCTATCAGAGCACTGTTGCTATTGGAAGCTGCCCTGTGCTCTGGTGGCATCCAGCAGGTGGACAGTGACAAACCTAGACAGAGCAAGTATGTGAAGAATAATCCCTGATCTCAGAGTTCAGCGGGCCTGGGAAGGCAGTGCAGTGTCATTCGCCAGCCTGGACAGACTCTGGTGGCTGGCTCTGCTATCTACTCTGCTGTGACCAGCATGTCTTGGATGGCTTGTCCTCAGGTTCCTCTTTTGAGAATTCAAGGGAGGAAGTGGGTGGCGTCTTGGGACCCAGCAAGTCTGAACTGCTCTGCCTGCAGCACTTGGGCAGGCTTTCTCACAGTACCTGGTGGCTGTCATCTTAACAGTTGCCTCTAACCCTCTGAGATCAGTGGAAACTTTTACATGGGGTTTTGTTCTGAGTGTGCATATACATCCCTCCTGGGATGGTCTGGGATCATGGGGTGCTTTGGTCTTGGCAGTGGCCTACATAGCTATTAATTGTCCCTGTGTCATTTGGGTTTTTGAATGCTTCAAGTAGAGGTGAATTTTCTTCACCTGTCCTGAGGAGTTTTTATTGTCTTTCTCCAAGTCAGATGTAGAGGAGCAGGCAACTCTTTGAGATATTTGAGCCTGCCGAAAGACTAGAGGGTTGGAGTAGCAGCCTAGCCTTGGGAGACCTGAGGTCTGGCCTACTGCTGTTGATGCCTTTATGAATGGGGATGATGGCCCAGGCATAGACAATCGTCGGAGACCTGTGTTGTGGCTTATTCTGGATGTTACCCCCAAAGCCTCCTGTGGTCATGGGGGAAGGCTTTTCAGAGGGGGCTGACTCTAGAGTCTGTGACTGACTCATGGTTTGATGCTGAGATTAAGGTGTTGAGTGCTACACCCACCCTAGGGCAGGTAGCCTGCCTGCAACATAAGGCACAGAAAGAGTCCTGTTTTGCTTGCTGCTTCTGCCATCTTCTGCTGCCCTGAACCATTGCCCCTCGGCTGCATGCCACCCTGCCTTGGAGCCAGCTGATTAGGGAGTGAAGCCTGTACAGACTGAGTTGAATAAACCTTTCTCCCTTTAACTTTGTCTGTTGTGTATTTTGTCTCCACACTGAGAGAAAAGTAACTAAGGCAGCTTGCCTTAACACTGGTGTTTATTTCAAAGGCAAACTGTGCTTAGTCGCTATTTTCAGTTTTGCCAAGAAGAGAAGACAATTGATTTTTTTCTATTTATATTGCTCTGTTCATTAGCAGGCATAATACAAAGCCTAGAGTTGCTGAAGCAAGATCAACAAGTTCTGATTAATTTGCAGAGCCCAACTATGTGATTGTTCCGAAGTTTCTACCCAAGGCTGCTCCCCGACTGAGTCACATCGTAGAAGCGTCCTTAATTGGAAACAGCCTCAGACACTGCTAGCAAGGATAGCAACAGAGAAAGAATATCAGAGCCAAAATACTTAAAAAGCAAATGCTAATGAGAGAAAGTTGGCAAAATGTTGACAACTGTATTGACCACGTCTGTCTGGAAGCATCCTCTGGTACACAGGGGTGTGAGAGCTGCTCTGGTGGCTGGGAATTTGGGGAAAAGGAAAAGCGCCTGGTCACATGTAGAAAACCAGGGCCTCATGTCTTGCAATGTCTGTCCTGTTTCTAACAAGCCTTGTGCTTCCAGGTTGTCCACCTCTTGGTCTGGAAACATTAAAAATCACAGACTTCCAGCTCCACGCCTCCACGACCAAGCGCTACGGCCTGGGAGCACACCGAGGGAGACTCAACATCCAGGTACCAGCCTTTGGGTGCTTGTGGTGGGGTTGTGGACTGTTCCGGTCATAGACACAGCAAGGATCCACTGAGATCAGCTCAAACATGGAAACAGCATTTAAGATGAGTTAGCCCTGGTTCTACTGGAGAAGACGGCATGGCTAAGCAATCCTGATTGCACAGAGACTGCAGGCATGCAGACTTGTCTTCTCTGAAGATGGTTTGTCAGGAAAAGGGAGGCTGGGCTCGGGTGGATCTGCCTCAGCCTCTGGAGTTTCTCTCTTCTACACTTCCTCGGCCTGCAAGGGCAGGCATAGGATGAACACTGTCTGCAGGCATGAACATGGAAGAAACATGGTTTTCCTTGCATTTCCCCTAATTCCTTCTTATCTCCACCATGCAGACATCTTTCAGACTGTCTTGTGACCTGAGAGGTCATGTAGGCCCAATTTTTTGTGGTGCCTGGGGCTGGGTACAAGGTGCCTTCTTCCCTGAGGTTCCAAGGCCACTGCAGCCTTGGCCCTTGTCACTGTCCAGGCTCCCTCTAAGGTGAGCCCCTTTCACACACTCCCTAAGCCGTGCAATTCTTGACTCCAGGCCATTTCTCAAGTGGATCCCTCCACTTGGAACTCTTTTCCCTCAATGTGCCTAGCAGTATAAATCTCTGCTGAGTCGCACGTTGCTGTACAACTTAGCATAAACTCGGCTTGCTAAACAACACACATTCATTCTCTTCTAATTCTGATGGATAGAGGTGTCTCTAGCCTGAGTCAAGGTGTGAGGTCATTCTGGAACCTCCAAGGAAAATCTGTTTCCTTCTCTTCTCTAGCACGGAAGCGAGCCCATTCCTGGTGCATGATTCTTTCCTTCTTCAGGGTCAGCAGAGACAGGCTGAGTCTTTCCCATGCTGCCTGCCATTTCTCTGGTTTTCTCTTCCTTCTTTCCCTTTGAAGGACTCTACATTACCTACCCCCCACCATTGCCCATGCACAGGTTCTAGAGATGTGGATGTCTTGGTGGGGAACACTATTCTGCCTACCCATCTCTGATGCCTTTTCATGTACTCCGGCTTCTACTGATCCAGCCCTTCTCAATCAGTCTTTGATTTGCCCTGTCTCATGTGGTTTTCCAATAGTGCCATACTTTTGACTTCTTCTCCAGCTGCTCCATAGCTATGATTTCAAGCCATCTGTGCATATGCAGTCCTCTACCTGGGAGGTGGGTGTTCCTCCCTTCCTGCCTTGAGGGGGCATCAAGGCTGCACTGAGCTCTGCTAGGTGGAAGGGTGGACCCTGCTCACCAGGTCTCAGTAGTGACCCATTGAATGCACCTCCAAACTGCTCACCCTTGCCACTTGTCAGTTCAGAGGAAGTCAGGTGGGACACCTCCAGGAAAACTTTAATAAAATCTAAGAATTGGCTTATAAATACTATTTTAAGAAAATAACAGTTATAAAGAAACAGTTGAATGGGTACAATTGGAAACTGCAAACATTCTCTTGTACTTTATAAGAAGGAGAGCACATAAACTCTCAATTTGACCAGGAGTTCCCATTATTGATCCTGAGCATCGCAGCATGCTGAGGTGGCCTCTAGACCTCTGAGGAAATTAGACTGAGACCCAGGCTAATTCAGATGGGGGTGTGGGGCTGCTCTGTGCATGAGGGAATAGCATGTGAAGTTCTGAATGGTTTCTGTTTTAGTGGAGTCACCATTTAAGTAAGAAAGGTTTGTGTTTATCTAAACTTTCATTCAAAAATTGAAAGGCTTTGTTAACCCTAAATCCATAGGTGGGTGAGGTTGGGGACTACTGCAGTCCTTCTTGTTGGAATTCCCACCACAGGTGCAGGGCAGAGTGTGATGGCAAAGTCCCTGGTCAGGTGTGTTGGGCTCAAGCCCTGGCTGGAGTGTTTAGTTTCTGAGACCCTTGGAATAATTATTTAATGTTTCTGAGACTTAGTTGCCTCACTGGGTAACATGAGAGTGCTGCACATTCCCGGGTTCACTGTGTGGCAAAATCCTCATTTCTCTGGCAAGAGCTCCTGGGAACTTCTGGTTGCTCCTTGAACAGATCCCAGCTTGGAGCATCTCTTTGTTCCCTCTGTGGTGCAGTTCCTGTGAGCACTCCTCTGCTTATCTCCATGGGCTTCATCTGAGCCACCTCCTGGGCATAGCAGGCCTCTGGGGCCTCCGTCTTGCCCACCTGCCGGCACCTAGACAGCACAGCCACACACAAGGTATAGGGAGGAGGTTGCTGGAGACGTGGCTAGGGGGTGGACAGTATTGATGCCTGGCTTGCTCACACCGGGCCGTGCAACCGATCCCACAGTGGACCAGTCATGCAGTCCTTACTCCCTGGTCATCTTTCTTGCCCCCTCTGTGTGTCACTGTGGGTGGCCTAGTGGAAGTCACCAAGCTCCTCTCTGTGATTGGGTCAGTAGGACTCACTCTCCTGTTCCAGTCAGTGTCAATAAGGGGGATTGGACATCCTCACACCGGCCCTGTTGGTCTTTAGGTGGATTTCTCTCTGCGATGGTGTCTTTTGTGTCAGATGTCCTCTCCTAAGGAGATTGACATACCTGCCCTGCAGTGTGAAGTTGGTGCTCTACTAGTCAGACCAGACCAGGCCAGGCCAGCTATCCTGTGTCCCACCCCGGCCCCAACGTTCTAAGCTGTGTCGCTCACAGAGAGTGGCATGCTGCCTGCAGCCCATGTGAGTAGGTTTTGATTCACATCCTCCACAGGCAAATAACCATGAGGCTTGCCCCCATACCTCTTTGTGATCTGCGCCTTCTAGAGCCACAGTGTTATAATTCCACTGCTGCAGATGCGCAATTAAAGGCAGAGCTCCAAAAATATGCCTCTCCACACATAGTGGTTTGCAATGCAGGTTAAAAATAACCATATCTTGTCACACTTATGCGTATTTTGTAGGCGTGTCAAGCTAATGGGACTTAAGTGTGAGAAACACCAAAATGTCAGAATTAGAATTCATGGTTAAGCATGTACTTATTCCAAGACAAGCAGAATGTGAGCAAATCTAGTCCAGCTCTTCCCTCGCCCAGGGATCTGCAGGTACAGGTGGCCCAGTACAAGCCCAAGGGCACAAGACGCACAGGGCTGGGACCCTAACAGAGTGACCTAAGGTGAGATAACTGCCTTCTTGGATGCTTGGCACTATCATCAGGAAAGCACAGGTACCAGCAGCAGCTCTGCTGCTTTCAGAGTATCACAGAGACCAAAAAGAGTACAGGGAGAAAACATGTCTCCAACCCCTGGCAGAGGGGCAGAGGCACTGGGTCTGCAAGCCCTCTGTACTGTGACCCGTGTGTTGTACTTGTTACTTCATTCATTCTTCAACAGGGAAGACAAGCACCATTATTATCGCCTCTGTCTTATACAGCGCAGACACCTGGAGCTTGGATGACTTGGGTAGGACTTCCCAGCGAGGCAGATTAGGAATCCAAGCAACTTCAAACCCAGAATCGTTGCCCCTCATGATGCCATGAGTCTTTCTCTCACATCACTAGAGAGGATGTTCCAGGTGCAGTGTCTGAAACAATGAGTCAGCTGTGTCATTATTTTCTGACAGTCATGTCGCCCTGACTTGCTTACTGGTCTCCTTGGCAGATCACGAGCCTGTTGCACGAAGTCTGCATCCTGCTTTCCTGGCTCTTCCCTGCTCCACATCGGCACAGTCTCCACACAGCTCGCTGTAGGCACTTTGAATTTGTTTCCAGGCAGGGGCTGTAGTACTTACAGGTTCCAGGAGGAGGCAGTGCAGACACGGCAGTGGTCACCTTTGCCTGTGCTCACAGGTGGTTTACAGAATGACGTCACTACATCCCAGAAGAAGCGTTTCTTCATGTATAAATTCTGCCTCGGGCTGGAGAGATAGCTCAGTAGAATAAGCACTTGCCTGGCAAGTGCAAGGGCTTGAGTTCAATCCCCAGTTCCGAAAAAAAAAAAAAAAATCTGCCTGTCCAGATGTCTCATGATACCCATGGAGGAAATGGTTCCAAGATCTGCCTCAAATACTACCATCTATGGGTGCTAAGTCCCTTTATAGGAAATAGCATAGACCATACCTGGCATGGCACCATATGCCTATAATCCCAGCTCTCTGGGAAGCTGAGACAGGAAGATCACAAGTCTAACCCAGCCTGGGCAATTTTAGTGCAATTTAGCAAGACAAATCTAAAATAAAATTAAAAATAAAAAGGGTTCCAAATGTCTGTCTGAAAACAAAAAGTAAAATTTATAAAAGGTTGGAAATGCAGCTCAGTGCAAGTTCAATCCCCACTACTGCAAAATAAATAAATAGGCATAGCACTTGCATATAACCTACCACACTGTAAATGTCAAGTCATCTCTAGTTTACTTAAAATATATAACACAATGGAGATTATAAATAAAACATTGCAGTATTGCTCTTTCCTATCCTGTAAGATGGCAGGTGAAAAAATTGAGAAGCCAGACACTCAAGAGAAGAACCCAAAGCCAAGAAGGTTGCTGCCAGTGGTACTGGTAAGAAGGGTAAGGTGAAGAAGGCAAAAAAGTCCAAGAAGGGGCAGCCCACTGCAGCTGATATCCTGTCCTGGTTAGAGGAATTGGTAGATACTCCCGATCTGCTATGTATTCCAGAAAGGCTTTGTACAAGAGAAAGTACACAGCTGCTAAATCAAAGGTTGAGAAGAAAAAGGAGAAAGTTCTTGCTATGACCACAAAACCGGTCAGTGGGGACAAGAATGGAAGTACCAGGTGGTTAAGCTTTGAAAAATGCCTAGATACTACCCTACTGAAGATGTGCCCTGAAAGCTCTTGAGCCATGGCAAGAAACCCTTCAGTCAGCATGTAAGGACACCCTGAGCTAGCATCACTCCTAGCATCATCTTAATCATCCTCATAGGCATCACAGAAGCAAGAGAGTGGTCTTCCTGAAGCAGTTGGCCAGTGGCTTGCTACTTGTGATTAGGCCTCTTAGTCTTAATTGTGTTCCTCTCTGAAGAACACACCAGAAAT